CACAAGGTGCACACGTGCACTAACCGGCAAAACAACTGCATAATGCTGCAAAAGCAGTTTCGGTGCCTGATGCCTTCAGCGTGGCTTGCAGTATGCGGTGCACAGCCTAGCACCACCAGACTCAAGTCCCGGCCATTTGAGTTTGGATCTCGAGCCTCCTGGGAGGACGGCGGTAAGAAGTCCAAGCATGCTGAGAAGACGCGGCTCCTGGGAGACCCCGCAGCAGCAGGGGATGCCAAGGGTAAGATAAGGGCCAGCTGTGGGCTTGCACTGCTGGCTGCTTGGACGGGTTCGGCTACGAGCTGCACGGGCTTAAGAGTGGAGTGCACAAACTTGGCAGCATTGCCGAGACCATCTGGCATCTTGGACTTACTCAGCGCATCTCAGAAGAAGGAAATCATCTCTGAGATGCTCACATGGCGCCCACCACATCGCCAGGCCGCTTGTCAAGGTGCACAGAAATGCGCAGCAAGATCCGCAGCGTCATCCTCCCGAGACACGCGAGCGCCCTCCCGTGCGCGCCTCTCACTGCCTCGTGGACCGTGGATGTGCTGTCGCCTCAAAGGCTCCAGCCCGGGATCTTCGAGCGAAGCGCTTCGCATCTTCTCACCGAACATAATGAGACCTTGGAAAACCTCGCCGTGGCCGTTGGAAAATGTGCCGACCGCTTCACACGGAAGGAAAGCAAGAAAAATCGGATGCTCTGTGCCTGCTCGTTCTTGGACCTCGGTTGCCGAAGCTCCGAAGCTGGCTATGGCAGCTATGGCAGCTATGGTCAAGCTATGTCAAGCTGGCTCTGACTTCTCGGGTCTCGGGCCTTAGGGAATGTACGTGCGACCGCTACCATACGTGACCATGGCTGTGTTTTTGAGACGAGACATCAGAACGGGGCTCCCACACCCTCGACCGGGTCGCCAGCTGCACTTGTTCCTGGCACGAACCAGACAAACTCACGACGAGTGTCGTGAAGGGCTTCTGGGCTTTGCTTCCCGCTGATACACGCAGCAGGCTTCGCAACAACTTCACCGCCTGAGCAGGCAACGGAGCCACAGAATGGAACTGGAAGAGTGTGGCCACCTGCCGTGGACTTCTTCACATTCAGAATGCCCTCCGGATCCCTCCGGCTACTGCTACGATTCGCCTCGTCATCAAGCCAAAGATTCTGCCGTCCTGTCGCTTCCGATGAACTCCCCCACNNCCCCCCCCCCCCCCCCCCCCGCGCGAGCCCACGCACGCCATTGCGAGACGGAGTATTTAAATAGCCTGATAGCCTTAGTCATTTCACATTTCCTAACTAATGGTGCTCCTTCCCGCTGTGATGCTTGAGTTTCTGCAGTGGCCACGCAGCGGAAAGAGGGATGCACCTGAAGCAAGGCGACAAGCTCCGAGCAAATGCAAGCCGTGCAGACTTAACTCGGGCGCTGGCAGCTCTAAAGCGCACGTGCACCTCTTCAAACTCCCTGCCTGCATCATTCTCACATGACACTTGCACTGTGGACACTTTGCGCTCAAAAAGCTGGGCGCGGGACAGTCCTGGCTCAGGCCCTTCACAGCAATAAGCTTTCTCCACCTCTCCGGTGATACCTTCAAAGATTTCAAAGGCAACTCAATTATTTTTGTGCTGCACCATGCTGCAGCCAG